AAAGCTTTCCAGCTGATGTCTCCTAAATTTTGAGAAGTGTGTGTTTGAACTTTGTAATCTTCCTTTTTTTCTTGTAGATCAGAATAATTGCAGCTACCTGAAATTAAATACAACTTTACTGTTCTTCTGATCAGGATCTGAAGAAAAGAAGTCATTTATAAAGTGGAAAATACTTAAACATGACCAGGCAGAGTCAGTTCAGTCATCCACAGTTCATCAGTGATGGAAACATAAGGAATTGGAGACTAACTGGCTTGAATTGGACGGTGTCTCTGAATGAATGAAAAGGATTGAGCAACGAAAACCCATTTAGTTTCAAACAAATCTTTATTAACCAGAAAAAGAGGAGAGAGGAGGAACAAAACCTCAACCCCCCATCATAGAAAATCACAGTACACAGACATAGACGCTGTTTGGCAGCATGGAAACGACTTTTCTGAGAATTGTTATGGAAAAAGTTATTTAAATGAGTCAGGCAAAGTTTTTTAATTATTAGAGAAGATCGATCGTGTGATGGAAACACAAGGAATTGGAGACTAACTGGCTAGAATTGGACGCTGTTTGTGAATTAAATTCACTGTGATTTAAGAGGATTGAGCATCGAAAACCCATTTAGTTTCAAACAAATCTTTATTAACCAGAAAAAGAGGAGAGAGGAGGAACAAAACCTCAATTCCTCATCATAGAATGGAAACGACTTTTCTGAGAATTGTTACAGAAAAAGTTATTTAAATGAGTGAGGCAAAGTTTCTTAAGGCAACAGCGTTGGAAGACGCAGATCTCAGAGTAAACTCAGGTTAAAGGCAGGTATTTAGTTTAGAATGGATAAAGGAAAGGAAAAGACCAGGATCTTAATCAGGACTTTTAACTCATTGACTGCCAGCCATTTTCAGAACAGAGTCCCATACTGCCAGAGTTTTTTGAGCATTTTGACTGATTTTTCAAGAGCCACAGAATAGTTTGTGCTATGACTATGTAAACACCGAACACACCAAAAGAAAGAGTAGACTCTCTTCTTTCATCAGGAAAAAAAATGTGTTTCTACCTTATTCCTTTCTTCCTCGACTTGCGTCTCACCGGCGCCATTTCTCGCATAGCGAACCGTTACCTTTTTCTTATTTGCCTACAGTCTATGCTCATCTCCCATCAAAAGTGGCACTGCCCCCTAGAGGGTCAATTTGTTACTACATACTCTGTCTAGAAGCCTGATATTTACGGACAAGCTTTAGCAGATCGTCCCCAAGCCACTCTCGTTGAAAAACATAAAAGACGTCTATAGACGTCTTTGGCAGCCAATGAGTTAAAGGGGGGGAGCTCATGTGCGGCGCCACACGGGGATGGCGGTCTGCCGGGGCGCCACCCCGGCGCTGCAGAGCCTGAAGTGGGTGCTGGTCTTCAGGCACTCGGGGGTCAGCTTCAGGCAGACGAAGCAGAACTCCACCTGGCAGCGCGGGCAGATGAGGTTCTTGCAGCCGGTGCGGTCGTGCTCCGCCTTGTGGCCGCAGGTGGGGCAGGCGCGGATGGAGGGGCAGGCGGCCACGCCCTCCACCTGGGGCAGCGCCGTGGTGCGGCAGGTGCGCAGGATCTGCAGGTCCGGGTGGGCGCAGCCCTCGGCGCCGCAGCGGTCGGCGGCCGGCGCCCGCCCGCTCCACGGGCGCAGGCACTGCCAGCAGAACTCGTAGGCCGCAGGGCCCCGGTCCGCCGTGCACACCGGGCAGCGCACGCACAGGTTGGACGGGTCCTCGCGCTCCACGAACGACTGGCAGCCCGGACACTGAGGGCCAGAGGGAAGGAGGGAGGGAAGTAAGTAAGTAAGTAAGTAAGTAAGTAAGTAAGTAAGTAAGTAAG